TCTCATGCTTTTATCAAGTCACTTCATATCTTTAGTTCTCAAGAAGTGAATTAAACAACGGAATTACAAATTACTTCACTTTAGTAGCACTAAGGCTTTAACAACAATAACTTCCATAAAATTCATGGTTCATCATAGTTTTGGAAATAAGATACGTAACAAATGAAAAACAACACAAAACAAAATAAGTTCCCAAAAATCCAGTGTTACGTATCAGAGAGACTCCTAAGACTCGATCAATAGCAACACGCGGTCCAAGAACTACTCAGGTACCTGGTTATCTGTATTCCTCGAGGAGCACATACACAACAACAAAAAAGGGGGTAAGAATTACATTCAATAATTACATAGTGAAAATCCCATGCTAAGAAGTAGTAATCACATAAGTCATACGAACCAGACAATTATAAAACATATACAATACCGCAAACAATATTCATCACACTTAGTTCATATTCAGTCATACATATATGCAATGTGACTCAATTGACCCTATACCATGCATGCGGTACCAACACAATCGATACGGCTCATCATGTGAACCCGATCGCTGTTAGAATCCGAATAAGTCATTTACGTTCCTCTGAACTATAACTTATCTCCAACTGGACTCCCATACGGAGTTCGGATGAGACTAGGCACCCATCATGGCTTTCCACCTAGGCTCATCTCCACATGACACGACATGAAATACATGACATATAATTATGCATAATATAATCATCTTTAAGGCATAACACACGATCTACAATGATCACACGTGAGTCATATACTCACTGTAATTCTCTCTAGAATTACCAACCTTGCCAAGGATTGTCCTCACAATAACAATCTCATCAACATAGACAACTATCACATATCACATAAAAATTCACACAAAAGCCAATGTTTTATTACGTTTCCTATCGTTACTAGTCCTTCTATGCCCACTTAAATCATACTAGTCTTATGAGTCAAAAGGAACTGCATTACATGCGAAACCGGGAAAGAAATCGCGAAAACAAGGTAATTTCCACACAGGCCTGCTCATAGGCGTATAACCCTGCCCCATACACGTATGGCCTTGCTGCCTCACCCCAATCCTTGTGTATGTTATGCATAGGGCAAAATTTCCTAGACATCATACGTGTGCCGTACGGGTATGACCAGAGTGGGGTTTCCCTCATAATCCTACCAAAAACCCCATACGTGTATCACCCATCCCATACGTGTATGGCTTCACTCTCACGCGTATCATACATGTATCAACAGATGAATGGCTGGCCATGGGGACAAGGTGTGTATCATATGCATATTGCCCATGAGAAGTCCCCTCATATGCGTATCGCCTCCCTCCAGACGCATATAGATAGTCTGCAACTTCAGGAAATTTGTTTTCACATCAGTGCAATTTTTCACCCATTGGAGCACCTTCAAGCTCCTAATTTTGACCCAGAACAGTGTGAATACCAGTCCTAACTTAGAGATTCAATTCTACTTCATTAATCTATCATTCTACTTAGGTTTTACACTGTTTAATTCCTAACTTTTGTGATCTCCCTAAAACCCACATTTTTCATATTTGAATTTCATTGCAGGACACAACCACAACAACAAATTCTCACAAAATTCACATCATTATCATCATATAAATCACAATTTCGCAATAATCATATAGATATAGAATCAATTAAACAAGGAGAATAACATACACAAAGTATACATAAAATCTTAAGAGGGGAATGAACCTTCACTACCCTCTCATGTTATAATCACCATTAAAGAATCCATTCTCACCCCTTACCTTAATTCCAAGCTTTTTCTTCTTCTAACAATGGTGGGAGAATTCCTCTTGCCCTAGCTCAACCTCGTTCTCTTCTTTCTTTCTACGTGATATCTGATTCTAAACTCTCTCACTTCTTTCTCCCTAATTATGTTTTATTTCTCTTAACTCTAATAATAATAATAATAATAATAATAATAATAATAATAATAATAAGAAGAAGAAGAAGAAGAAGAATAATAACAATAACATATTCCATCAATAATCTATATTATTATTATTATTATTATTATTATTATTATTATTATTATTATTATTATTATTATTATTATTATTATTATTATTATTATTATTATTATTATTATTATTATTATTATTATTATTATTATTATTATTACTATTATAATAATATCATTATAAGGTATTATTCTAATTGATTAATTGTACTAAGTTCTCACACTCACCCTTAACCATATACCCTTAATGAAGCCAATACAATTTCACAATCAAACACAAAATGATTAAATATTTAAATAGGGTGTTACAACTCTCCCACAATTAAAATATTTTTGTCCTCGAAAACACACCTGACGAGAATAATTCTGGATACGACTCTTGCATCTTACTCTCTAACTCCCATGTCACGATTTCACCAACAGCTTCTCCCCAAGCTACCCTCACCAAAGGAATGTCTTTGCCTCTTAATTGTTTCATCTTGCGATCCTCAATCCTTATCAGCATTGTCTCAACGATTAAATTATCCCTAATCAGCATTTCATCCCTTTGAATGACATGAGATAGATCAGAGATAAACTTCCGAAGTTATGACACATGAAACACGTCATGCAAATTTGAAAGTTCGGGTGGCAGTGCCACTCTGTATGTAAACATTCCAACTCTCTGCAAAATCTGATACGATCCAATGAACTTAGGATTCAGCTTCTTTGAATTCAGCACACGACCAACACCTGTCACATGATTGACCCTTAGAAATATATTACCGCCTTCACTGAATTCCAACTCTTTCTTTCTATTATCATGATAGCTTTCCTGTCTGCTCTAGGATGCTTTCATCTTTTCTCTGATCATCTTGATTGTCTCAGTAGTCTGTTGCATAATTTCGGGTCCAAGTACGGTACTTTCACCCGACTCACACCAGCATAGAGGTGTCCTACAACTTCTACCATAAAACGCTTTAAAAGGCACCATTCCAATACTAGAATGGTAATTGTTGTTATACGTAAACTCAATCAACGGTAAATGGGTATCCCAAGCACCTCTTTTTTCGAGTATACAAGCCATCAACAAATCCTCTAACGACTGAATAGTCCTCTCTGATTGTCTATCTATATGTGAATGGTAAGCAGAACTCAATTTCAAACTAGAACCCAAAGCTTCTTGCAGGCTTTTCTAAAATTCGAAAGTAAATCTCGGGTCTCTATCAGACACTATGCTTGACAGATCTCCATGAAACTTCACTATTATCCTGATATAAATCTATGCTAACTTTGATAAAGGAAAGCTGATGTTAATCAATATAAAATGTGTCGATTTCATCAATTTATCTACAATCACCCAAATAACATAAAAGCATATCATTGTATTCGGTAATCCAGTAACAAAGTCCATCGAGATATTGTTCCATTTTCACTCTGGAATTTCCAATGGTTGCATCAATCCTGAAGGTTTCTGATGCTCAACTTTTGACTTTTGGCACGTCAAACAAGCATACATAAACAGAGCTACACCTTTCTTCATACCTGCCCACCGGAATAATTTCTTAAGATCCTGATAGATTTTTGTAGCTCCCGGGTGAATGCTCAAGCTACTCCTCTGACTTTCCTCTAAGATCATTTTCTTCAACTCAGGATTATCCGACACACAATTTTTACCCCGAAATCTCAACACACCAAATATTTTCCACCCTTCATATGTTTTCTGGTGTCTTTTAATTTTGAATAAATGAATTGACACAATTGATAAGGAGGTGTGGTTTGCAAGTATAAGATCATGAGTTCGAATTCCACCTTCTTTTTATAATTAGGCATTATTTATTTTAAACTTCTTTTTTATCTTTGCATTATTATTAAAAATCACAAAAAATCATATTTTTTAAAATTTATTTTTAATTTTCGTTTTTCTATTTTAAGTATATTTTATATATAATATATTTTCATTTTATTCAATTTTCAATGCAATAATAACAAAAAATCATATAAAATATAAAAACAACAAAATCACATGATTTGTCACTTTCTGATTGGTCATATGTTGATAAAACTGATTTCTCATTGTTCAGAGTTTGTCGACTTGCTGACCAAGATAGAATCAGAAACTTTGAGCCTTTTTTAATTTGGATAATTTCTTTTTTTAGTGTTTTAACCTAATTTTTCAATATATAAATAGTCATCTATTATGACAGCCCAATTGATCCACAATCACCTACAATATCCATAATTTTACAATTTCTTACATACACATTCACAAAGTCACTTTTACAATTTCTTTTCAAAACTTCTTTTTCAAAACTATTTAGTCGATGATTTTCATATTAGATCCCACCCTTTTATTTTCAATTTTATTATTTTCTTAATTTTAATTTATTTTCTGTTTAAACCATATAATAATAATTATCTAATGGTTTTTTTTTGTTATTATTTGCAAAATATAACTTGCACCATTTTTTTATATACAAATCAATAATTCTTACTATTCTCCAAAAAAATCAATAATTCTTACTATTTTCCAAAAAATCAAAGCCTTTTTCATCCCTCGCTTTTTATCATAGATATTTTCAATCACTGTTTTTCTATTCATTTATCAATTCTATTTTATTTCATTCGATACTTTGTATCGATCACATGATGAGGAAAATAAAGTAACCACTTTTCACAATCCCTACTAGTTACTTCTCTGATGATAACCTTTCGTATTATTTTCATTTGCTTTTCATTCTTTCATTTAAAAATTTCTAATGCTATAATAAAGACATGATGATGTCAATATTGGTTTGTATGATCCATAGATCTGTATCCGTTATTCCTCAGTTCTTCAAAACATAAAAATCAATTTATAACTCTTTTTTCACCATTATACCAATTTCAAAGAAGTTCACAAACTTTGTTCTGAAACAACAACAGTGTCATTAATTTGTATTACAAACTTCCACAAATCAGGTTTCATCAAACTAAAGCATAGATCTCATGAACACAACCCGACACAATTTCCAACACAAAGTTCAAAAAACCAAAACAGAAAGAAAATAAATAGGAATTAGATCATTGTTGTTGTTGTGTTTTTTTTTACATTGATTGCAGGTAGAAAAAGAAGAACAATGGAAGAGACACCCACTGACACAACCGAATTGCAACAGCTCCCCGCCTCTGCACAGTCGCGCTTCCGCAAGCCGCAAATCCGCCATGATCATCATTCAAGGTTCCTTTATTTCATTCTTTTTTTGAGTTATTTGTTTGATTGTGGGGTTGTTTATTTTGGGAGTTTTAGGAAGAAAGGGTCCTGAGAAAGAAGAAGAGAGAATTGTCTATTTCTCTCTCTGTTTGGCTTTATTACTCTTTTTTTTTTTTTTTTTTTTTCTTTCTCTTTCCATATGCCACGTGTCGCATAGGGAGTGGTCCAAGAAAAAACAAGTGAAATTAATATTTGAAAATTCAAAGCAATCTTGTTTTGATTAAGTGATGGAACGATGCAGTGTACTGCTTTACACACTTTTTTTTCTCTCTTTTTTTACTTTTGTTTTATTTTATTAATCATTAATGTTATATTTCAAATTTATCGGTTTTATTTTTTACAATTAAATAATTTTTAAAATTAGGTTTTAAAAATTTCTTTGATTTATTTACATTAATATTTGAGTTTTAAAAATATTTATTTTTAATTTATCTTGTCTATTTAAAAATATATAGTTATTTGTTTTTAATTATTTGTATTTTTTAAAAAATAAATATTTGATCTCGCGTTTTATATGTTTTTAATTGATTTTTTTTATTCAAATAAATGATATAATGCAATTGGTATGAAGATAAGATTTGCAGGCATAAGATCACGATTTTGAGTCTTATATATCTCATATTTTAACTTCTTTTTTTCTTCCTTTTTATTTATTATTAACTTTATTATCATTTTAAATTGTTTTCAAAAATCAAAAATATATTTTTTATTATTTTAATTTTAATTTTAATTTTCTTATTTAAGACATTTTTTAATAACAATAATATTTTATTTTATTTTTGTACATTTTTAGTCAAAAAGTTTAAAAAATCATTAAAAAAAATATAAGAAAACTTCTTATTTATCTTTGGGTCTAAGTTAATCAATATTAAGAAATTTGATTTGATTTTCTCTACATAAGGAAAAATCAAAACGAATATTCTTGATGATTATTTTTTTCACTAAGTTTGATTTCATTTTAATTATTTACCTATTCTATTTTAACCTAATTTCTTAAAATAAATAGACTAACAATTTCTAACCTAAGGGAGGTCATTCATTCACAATTCCAAATTCAAGTACACACCAAATCCAACACACAAAACCCTTTCCTAATCAAATCCTTGTTTGGTTTTTTAGGCCAAAATTTCCATAAACCCTTATTCACACAAACATATCGTTACACACTCATTCTCATACAAAACCTCTCTCAAATTCATTCACTCTACATATTCTCCAACAATCAAACACACTAGGAAAAACCTTTCCTACCCTAGTCAAAAAATTAAATACTTTCACCCACATACAACTTGTTTTCTTCTTTTTGAGTCTTGTTTGACACTAGAAAAACTATCCTTCACGTAACACACTACGAATGTTCACGATCAACCTTTGTCAAATCTCTATTCCATCCAAGCCATAAACAACACTATAAAATAACTTGTGTTTTGCCACGTGAAAGCCATGTCGCTAACACCCAAATCACGCCACTACTCAAATTTTGCCACCTTAAGAAACACGTCGCTATATAGCGCGTGACAATCTTGTTGCGGCGTGAAAAGCATGTCACCAAGTTACCACGTGAAATTCACGCCGCAACATACTGTATAGGATCAAAACAATTCAGAGCAGAGTAGAGGGTCAGAACATGTTTACATTTATATTTACGTTAGCTGTAGCGACGTATTTTTCACGTCACTAATTAGTGACATGAAAAACACGCCGCAACTTGTTTTATTTATAAAAAAAAAAATTGTGTTTTAAATATATTAATTTTGTTTTAATAATTAATATTATTTTTTATTTTATTAAATTTATAAATTAAATATTATAATTTATTTATTAAATACAATATTATAAATCAAATTATCAAAAACAAAACTAAATATATCTAAATGTATAAATAAATATACTTAATATTATAAATTTAATAAACTCAAATTTAAATTTATATATAATATTTTTAAATATACCCTATCATTATAAATTTATATTACACAAATAAAAAACTAAATACAAAATAAAAATAAAACTAAGCAGAATCATTAGAGTCGTCGGAAATATCGGGAAGAAAGTCATCATTATTTTGGTGGTTATTATTTGGCCACCACTGTTGGGATTTCTACCAAATGCTTGCATAAATTGTCGCATTTGCTCCTCCATATCAGCTTGCCTCTTCGCTATTGCCTCAATTTGTCTATTATGTTCACCCCTCATTGCCTCCATTCGGGCATCCATTTGGGCCTTCAATGCCGCCTCACGATCTTCGGACTCGCGTCTAGCCAATTGTCTTACCAGTTCTAACTGATCTAGTGTCAAATTTGTTTGACGTGACCCTCCTTCACCGTCTGCAGCTCTCTGATACAGATTTCTATCCCCACTCCTCAAGGTGCCGGTAAATTTCCACCACAAAAAAACACCCGTTAGGCCCCTTTCCCCCAACAACTTGACTCCAAATATAGAAATCCACATCTGGATGAACCGGTTTTTTGGAGGAGGCGTATACTGAGGATTATGGGTCAGAAATTCTACAAGCAACGCCTGATAATTCTCCTACACATACAATAAAAAAAATCAAGTTAAATGTATAAGTAACATTAATGAAATTAAATGAAATAAAAAAATAATAAAAAATAAATAACCACGTGATTGTAACGCCACAACTTATCAGTTGCCACTCAATTTTCACGCCACAACATGTCACTTGCTATATGAAAATCACGTCACAAAATTGCTTAAAAAAATATAAACATAAATTTACTTAATTACCAGGGCTTTTTTTGTGCACTCGTCAGTAAATCCTCCCGATTTCTTTGTCCGAGTCTCCTTAACCAGCTCAGTCATCAATGGTTGTCTCCCCAAACGCTTAGCCTAAATATAAAAATTAACTTAAATTAATAATATGTTATAAATCCAAATATGACCTTAAAAAGTGGTAATAATTACCATGCGTCGAGCATGCTCAGCAGTACTAATACTTCCAACAGCATTAATGCAACCCCCTTTTTCCGATGCCCTCATCTTCTTTGCAGTTTCAGATTTAGCCTTAAATTCATCTGATTCCCAATACTTAAGAAGTTGTTCAAAAACTTCTTTGCCTATCCATTTGGGACGAATGTCCAAAAGGTGTCAATTCTCTCTAACACGTCGTAGCATGTCAGAAAGTCGTCTTGAACTCCTCCCAAAATAATTTTTTTTTTACTTTGTTATGGTTCAGGGGATCCCAAACACATTTCGCCTGCAATGTTGTATGACATTAAAATAAATAGTTAGATAAATTATAACAATAATGAAAAGGTTATTTAAATAAAAATAACTTAAGAAATAAATTAATTATACCTGAAATTGCTTGAACCATTCTTCTTTATCGGAAACTTCTCTAAAACTCTTCAAATTTTTTGTATAATTCTGTTGAATTATATAATTGATAACCTTAGCAGCAGTCCGACTCGGCCCGAAACTAAAACAACAATAATTTAATTAGCATAATTAATTATATAAAGTTATATTAAAAATGGAAATGTGTACTTATAAATAAAAATCAATAAATAAGAAACTTACGAGTTCCTTTCAGGCCATATCCAAAATCTCCCATCAATGGTATGAATCTCACTCGGATCATCATCCCCTCGAAGATCTCTCCCATCTATCTGATCATCATCCACACCAAGATCGTCATCATCCGACTCTGTGTGGGATGTGGGGGTGTGACCAGTCTGTGTGGGTCGTGAAGAGGTAGATCCTCCAGGCTGCTGGACGGATGGGGGCATCTGTGTAGGAAGTGGGGTGCTGGATCCTCCAGGTTGCTGCACGAATGAGGGCATCTGTGTGGGAAATGGAAAACTGTGCTGGAAGGATGAGGGCACCTGTGTCTGCTGGAAGGATGGCACCTGTGTCTGCTGGAAGGATGAGGGCACATGTGTCTGCTGGAAGGATGAGGGCGCCTGTGTCTGCTGGAATGGTAAACCAGGTGGGGCCCCAGATGGACTAATAAAACATGTACTCCCAGATGGGAACTGAAGAGGACTCTGAGATGATAGTAATGGAGTAAATGGCATAGTACTGTCCATGGAATATGATGAACCTGACTCTGCGGGGGAGGACACGTGGCTGAGTGAGGTGACTGGCATACTACTACCCTTGGACGCTTGGGCTTCCTACCACTATCACTAGGACCTTTACCCTTATTATCTTTGGGTGGCATTTTTACCTAATTAAAGAAAATACAAGTTAACATATACATATTCTCATGAATACATATTCATTAAATCATTCAATAAATGGTTCTTTGAGTAAAATTACAAGACACAATTCTCATGAATACATATTCATTAAATCATTAAATAAATGGTTCGTTAAGTAAAATTACAAGACACAATTCTCATGAATATAGGTTCACTATTCTGAATCGTCATGCTCGTCATCCATTTCATCATCGTCATCTGATGTGATACTATCCTCAGATCCAGAATCTTCATGATCTTCATCCTCATCAACTTGATTCCCCTCAACCATTGTATCAGACAAACTTGTAGTGTGTTCATCTGGAATCACATTATTAACTTCAACTTCATCAACTTGGTAAGCAACATCCTCCACTAGATCGCCAGTTTCAATATGACCCAATGGTTTTGTTTTTATTACAACACAACACCGTTGTTTACGTGGCACAAATGAAGGATAAGGAACATAATAAACTTGCCTAACAATATTTGACATTATGAAAGGGTCGTACTCTTTGTACCTCCGGTCCATTTGAATCTCAACAGTACCATATGTCTTATCTATTTTTGTGCCTCTAGTTGTATCATACCATTCACAATAAAACAAGACAACTTTATTTTCCGAGTCCAAGTAATTGTATACTAACTCGTAGATATGTTTAACAAAACCATATAAGTCATCTTCACCACCATCTGTAACTCCTTTCACAAATACGCCACTGTTTATGGTTTTTTTCCCTTCAGTCCATTCATGAGTGTG